GCACTTCCATAAAGCTACCAACGTTTTTGACCGTGCTGTGGAGTGAGGACAAGTTGTCAGGTCTCCTTTTGGCTTTCCCAGGGAATTTAGACTATTACCCAGCGTCTTGTGACTCTCTGTGGACCCCACAGTTTTCTGCATCAACTCATATCAACTTTTGGGAGGTCTTTTTTGTGATTCATGTGGAACCTCCTCCAGATCTACAAAACCTTCTCCAGAAGAGACCACTGAAGGAGGGTTCAGTTTCAACCAGTTTCAACCTACGTATCCAGGAAATTCCCTTCACCTGCAAACAAGCAACATCCGATTTGACCCACACCCCATTCCATTGAGGCCTCAGGTGAGGACTTGCCTTTGAAGTACAAGAAGGTGCCGATGTCCGGGTACCCCAGAGAGTTGACTCGTCGGCCTGGAGAGATGGGTCGTGACCGAGCAGCCAGAAGCGGTCCACCGTGCGCACCGTGAGGCGCGGTCGGTTTGGCCGTCTGATGTGCCACTCTGATTTGCTGGCAAGCAGGTACAGTTGCTCCAGTAGGTGATGGTGCTGGCACCTACTTGAAATCCAGTTTGGTGCTGGCGCAAGGACCATTCCACAAAGCATACAGGTTGTCCGAAATGATGTTGTCCTCCTAAGGCAACCTCTCCAGGTGAATTGGTCAATCTCCCAACTGACTGACTCCCGGTTGATTTTTCCACCGACAAGTCCAAGCAGGCTTGAGAGGGCAAATCCAGACTCCAGAATCCTGTGGAGGGCGAAGAATCTACATTCTTTACGACCGTTTTTTTCAAAAAAAGCGGACACGACCCAATAAGGCACTGGCATATGTACCGAGGTGCTGCCTCAGGTGCTGGTGCTTTTTTTGGGGGGGTCGATGCACAAAAGATGAAAGCACACCTTTTTCGCATCTGGGCGCTGCATCATCATCAACCATGGATTGATAATCTTTTGATCATTATCAATGGCTGGTTGATGGTGCATAGATATAGGATGAAATAGGTACATCATCACTCACCGGCTTAGCACGACCTTAGCGACTCGCCAACCCTTCGCCGCGCTTCTGTCGTCTCCACTTTCGCCCGCTCGTTCAGTGCCCAGTCGTGGGGTCGCCGGTTCAGGCCTCCAGTCACGAGAGCCCACGGCCCTCAGCTTTTCACTATTGCTTGGTAGCACCATTCACTACCGCCCAAAGCGGTCCGGTCTGGAGTGTTCGTGGCCGTGCTGCCCAGCGCAGTCCCCAGTGCCTGGTGCTACGTTTACCTGGCGCGGTCTCCGGAGACTGACGCCTCACGTTTGGCCCCCCCCCCCCCCGATCGTCCCGATCGTCGGGGCGTTCCAGGATCGACTTGCCTCTGGGCGCCACGGAGGACCGTGTTTGCCTGGCACCTCAGGAGTCGCGGATCACCTTTGAGGAGTGGCGGAACATGAGGAATTTCCGGATTTCGTGGTGTTCAACATCCAGGGAGTTGAATTACTCCTCACCGGATGATATAAGTAAACACTTCGAAGTAACAAGGGAGATGAACAAACATGTCTCACCACCATGGAGGGGAAATCGCTTCCTCCCAGGGTCCCAGACCATCTATGTATGGAATCAATACTTGCTTGTGTTGGTCCTCCGACACACTCCGACCAACACATGGAAGTGAAGTATGCTACGCAGGGCCCCCCGCCCCTGGTATTCGGAAAGTGACGTCTCCGATTTCTCGGGGGGCCATGCCATCGAACCATATCGAACCCAAGGACCATGTGTTGGTTGGATCAGAGTTCAGTCCCATGGGTTTTGAGCCCACCAGGTGGCACCATTGACATTGAGAAGGCCCTCACCCAGGGCAAGAAGGTGCGTTTCCCGCATGATTCGCGCTCGTCGTCGGTCCGTCTCCGCGGCCGAGAGTTCGGGAGGAAAAGGACTGGAGAAGGGAGCTCTTGAGGCACTGGTTAATACGGGCTTTTTCAATGGTGGCCGTGCTTCCTACAAAGATGATTATAACTAACTAGATGTTTGGCGGATCGTTTCTGCATCATGTTACTTTTGATCACACGTTTGATCAAAACTAATTTTATCCATTTGGCGTATTCCATGAACCTGCACCATTAAGCAACTGCCAAAACCTGCGATGATCAATTCAGCAGTTTGAGCGTTCGTGAATTTCAGGAGTTTGGCCAAACATGCCAAAGCAGTAGGCCCCCACTCAGCCCGAACCAGAGGTCGCTCCAGCTGTTGAATATTGAAGATATTCATGTTGAAAGTGTTGCTAAACCTGAAAAAACAAATGACAGGCCGGACCTATAAAATTGACGTCCTCTTGTTGAATCATGACCTCTTCGCCAACAAAACGTTTCAGCAGACGCTCATACATTACATATCGTTACTAGATGTTACTAGTAGTACATAGTTTGCCCTTGACAACATGTATTGGGACCCCTATTGATGATTTTTGGGGACCAACATAACATTCACGCCAAGTATCACCTCTTCGTCAGCATGACCAGGCCTTTGAACCTGGTCTGTTGGCAAAGGCCAACCGTGGCATCTTGTACGTGGATGAGGCGGACCCGGGTGGGGCGGGGGGCCCACCGGGCGAACGCGGAGGCCACCAACGGTGGTTTGGGTGAGCACCGACGCACAAGCCATGACAACCCTACACTACGCATGTATTATGCGTGTGTGCTTGCTTGTGTGCTTGCCTGCTTGCTTGCTTTGTGTTCAAAGTGGTCCGCAAACAGGTACTCCACAAACAACAATGACCATCATGACCGCCAGGAATTTCTCGCGCTGCTCGATGGATCCGCGGAGAGAATGTTCTAAGATGCGACTGGAGAGGAGGATCCTTCGTCCAAATCAGTGAGCTTGGCAGTCAGCCAAGATCTCCAGCTGGGCAGTCAGCCACTCATTTTGTACTGGTCGCGCCATCGTTCTCCCCCACCAAGATCTCCAGGTTGCGCCTGTCGTTCTTCGCTGTGGGTCATGGCACCCAGAGCCTGTTTCACTCACTCACTCTGGTAGGCTGACCTATTCTGTTCATGTGCGGTGGTCTCTCCCAGGGGCTTTCGGTTGAAAGACGAACACATCCATGTCCTGCGCACCAACCGCACCGCGCACGCTTTCCATGGCGGCGGCCTCCAGGTGAATCTGTTGGACGACCACTTGGTGGACGTGCTGCTGGATTCCGCAGCAGGTGGCTGGAACACTGTGGAGCGCGAGGTGGGAGCCAAACCGTTGGAGGGTCATGGGTCGGATGTGGGGGCCGGACATATGGGAGAAGTTTCAAGATTCTTCGGATGATTTGATGAATCACTCGTCAATCAATACTAGGTATACTATTATGGTATGTGAAGATTGGTTTGGATCTTAGAACGAATTTGAATCCTTACTCTGTCCATGGTTGCTGAAGCTGCATATTCATAATATGATTCATCTACGGCTGTGAGGTAATGGCACCCGGAACCCCAACCTTTTGCTAGGTTGACCATGTCTAGTCTAGTAACGTCAGTCTCTTCTGTTCATGTTCTGTGGTCTTTTTCCAGGGGCCCCCAATTGAGAAAAAGAACAGCCATATGCCTGGCAGCTTTCCCATCCTATGCGCGATGCACACCGAATCGCCTCCTCCATGGACCTGTCCAGCTACAACGTGCAGCGAAATGCGTACACTCCGACGAACGCATCACATGGAAGTGATCAAATATGACCAGCGCTGGTCCCTAACGAAGACGATACCTTCCTGCACCCCCCCGCAGGGTGGCCCTCCACTTCCATAGAACATGTCGGACTTCTGTTCGGAGTGTACGCACGTTCTGAACCATCCGCAACTGCGCGAATTTTACCTGGCTGCCAGGGTATCAGTATTCGTCACCCGGCCAAGTTCATCCTGGTGGGCAGCGGCACCTGCTGACACGTTTACACATCGCCCGGGGGTGATGGGTGGTCGTTGTGGGGCCTTGGGAGGGTGGCATGTTCGTTGGTGATATATGTGTAATAACAAGCAAATCCGCGGATAGTTGGGTCCAGGAATCGCAGAACCTTTCAAGAAGCTCATTCTTAGCAACGCAAGCAAAAACCGTGCCCCTACTGGAAGAAAATCGGTCCTCCCCAGCATCAAGAGTTCGGTCGGCTCGAAATGAACCCCGGCAGTCACTGGTCGTGACGAGCGATCAATCGACCGAAAAACGAGATCTTCGTCTGACACCGGTCTTCTGAAGCGGGCGAAGCTCGGGGCTTCAGGCGTCGTTCGGATGTTGAGGACACATGGTTTGGGTAACCCTTGGTATGCTTAGGCACTAAACCCCTACCTCTAAACACCTGTTAAGCCCGTAGGCCTCAGCATACCAAGGCCTACCCAACACATGGTCGACACTTTGGAAGGCTCTTTGAGGACACACATGAATCATCCTGTCAAGAGCCTTACTCTTTGTTGTGTCGACCGAGTCACGCCTGCACAGAGCGGCCGCAAGGGCCAAAAGTCTTCTGAACAACGATAGCAAGACGATTCCAAGCACCTTGCAATAGCAAGCACAAAACAAATTCGAACCACCATTGATCCATGGATGTGACGCTACAAAACCAGGTCAACCATTCCTTTTAAACGTGGTCTTTGAAGGCTAGGGAAGATGGATCGGGCTAGCACTCAAGGATGTCCTACAGCACCGCATTAGTGTGATCTAATTTTAATCCGTTTGCTGATGATGCGACACTTCATTTGATGAACTGTGAACTGTGTTTCTTCGCAAAATGTGCTTTGTGGGCTTGAAGACATTGTGCAGCATCGACTTACCGAAAATGGGAAGAATATTGTGACCACACAAACAGATTGAAATAGTTGGAGTTTGGTGAATTCGTTGATAGAACATGTCTTGCACTTGCACGTGAGGACAAGGAACCACCCCCCCCAAAAAAACACAACTGCGTCATATCCCTTCCTCAGATCGATCAAATTGGACTTTGATAACGCCAGGAAACCCTGAAGAGGGCGAGCTCCGTCCACAGCTCTTGGATCGTTTCGGTATGCACGCACTGATTCGGTCGGGGACCCCAAGAGTGGATGATGCTCGTGTTGTTCAAGTGCGTAGCCATGGCCGGAGGTTCAACAACATCATGGAACGATAGAATGAACTCCATAATTAGCCGTATACTATATGATCTAGTAATCAGCCTACTATACCTGGATCTTGGAAACGGCACAAATAATTGCCTTTTCAGGAAAAAATGCCGTTACGGCGTCTTTTTCCAAAGACGGCGTTTTTTGTTGTGACGAGGCGCACGCCGGCAGAAAGCAAAAAGAAACGGCGTCTTTAAGCGTCCAAACGGCGTCTTTGGGCGTCCAAACGGCGTCTTTCCCCGTCCATGGATTTTGTACAACCCATAAAACGGCATTTTTTTTGATTACGGTGTCTTTTCACTAAAAAATGCCTCCGGCAAAAATTTGTGCCGTTTGAAGATCCAGGTATGTCTATGAATGCAAAAGAATCATTGAACACAGGGATCTTCGCCGCCCTCCGTTTGGACGGCTAGGACTCGTTTTTGATTTGGGAAGGACGGTCGACCTCTCGGCATGGTGAATGATCCACAGTAGCAACCATCCCTGTGACCATCCGGATAGTATCACTATGTATCACCCATTAATGAAGTAGAACAGTTCCAGGTTCAGTTCTAGGTTCAGCTTCACCCTTACCTGGCGCACACTCTGCAGACGTCACGTGGTAAAATTAATCGGTCGGGGTGGTCGTTTGGTTGGGGTGGTCGTGGCTTTCCACCCCAGACGCTCCGTGAGTTCACAGCCCCCTCACAACTTAGGGATTGCGTCGAAAAACCTGATCGAGATCCCATATAACAATAAATCATATTATAACTATAATGATATATCGATCCATAACACATTATGCTATATATATGGGAGAATGCACACCATTATTCTGGCTTCAGGGATTTCTACCCACCCGACTTGAAAAAGAGAGAAGTGCACCCCGCCATGACTGAACCCGATTACTCGCCCAAACGGCCGATGGCTCGCTACGCTGAACAAGGACGGAGCGGGACCCGGAGCTCCGGGTGAAGATCGTGGAGAGCACCCGGGACTTTGCGGATGACCCCGTGGCGCGCTGCGACGCGTGCGACGCGTGCGACGTGGGGGGCGCCACACGCTTTTTTCGTTCGTGCGGAAGCTCTTCGAGCGTTCGTTGCGCCACGGTCGTAACCAGAAGCTACGAACGTAGCTCCTGGCCTTACTAGGAGCCAGAAGCTAATTACTAGTGTTTTGGTTTTGGTGCGATGCAAGTGGAGGATGTTGAAGAAGAACACCAGGTCAGGATCAAAATGGACAAGGTGTCCCAAGAGAAGGACCTGGGTTATTTTGTTCAAGGCGTCGCCGTGCCATCTACAATACAGAAGCACCTAGGTCGTTTTTGCGTGTTGGGCTCCACTGTTCCATCTACCCACACGTCATCCTGCACCGCTACAGATGTGAGGAACCAGAGGCACCATTGCTTTGTCCAGTTAGCTAGTCCAGCTGTCTACAGATCTACAGTTCCTTGCACTGTTGGTATCCGTCTTGTTGGTCCAATCATATCGTTCAATCTACAGGGTTTCAGAAACAAAGTCACAGGGAAGACATTTTTCCTGTTGTGCTTGGAATCAATTAGTCCCACAGTCCCATCGTCCCACGACCCCCATCGCCGCAAACGTGACCAATCCAGCGACGGAGGGCTTCAGAGAGAAGTATGTGGATGACAATCAGGAGTTCGCAACGCAGATTCTGGAGGCGCAGATTGCGTCGGCGAAGGATGAACAGAACTGAACAGAACCAATCAAAACAACCTCCACAAAACAAAACATGAAATTGATCTCTTACTTGTGAGGAAATACCCTCAATTGATGATCTGTTTCTGCTGCTGGCTGGCGATAGATCCGGTGGCGATGCTGGAATCCATGAGGAGTGATCCTCTCATGGAGTGATTGGTCCTGCCAGCCTGCCAGCCGGAGGGACCTGACTTACTCCCATTTCCATGAACACATGGCAGACAGCGTGGAATCTGTGAATGATACCTTCAAAATAAGATCCGCTATAATCCACTATATGAAGTGACTAATGAGCAGGAAGGCATCAACACCAGTTGAACTTGAACTGAACACAACTTAACCATGTTCAAACATGTTGAATTTCTCGTTGAAACAGAATTAAACACTCAGCTTTTGAGCATCCATCGACACCGTCTACTTTCTTCCCGAGAGGCACAGAAACGGCTCAAGGAGGCGCGGGCGAGGAGGGTTTCACCCGTGGTCACATCAAGTCTTATCGCTACTAGGTTGGAGGCCATCGCTACTAGGTTGGAAGCAATCGTTACTAGGGTGGAAGCAATCGCTACTAGTAGGGTGGAGGCCATCGCTACTAGGGTGGAGGTCATCGCTACTAGGGTGGAGGCTGTTGAACACGGGTCCCTGCTCTTGGTCAAACGCACTTGGGGGGGACACACGTGGTGAAGATTGCCTGGACGTTGGCTTGCTCTTTTTGTGTATCGCTGGATCGCTACTTTAAACATCAAGAACATCAATGAATTATATATAAATATATATGAGATAGTTTAGGTAGCGAAGTAGGGTGTATTCTAAGTCAGATCGGTGTTCGGATGGGCTACGTGGTGCGACGACAATCTCTCAGGGAATGGTGTGGGCTGATCGGGTATCAAAAGCTTCTGGTATTTTTAGGTTTTAGTTTGACTGGGCTTCTTGAGCCCACGTTCAACACCACTTTTTGATACCACCACATTAACACACAACTAGCTAGACCGACCGCACCGTTGAATTCCTGGTCGAGTTGCAGGTGAAGACCGACGGGGAGATCGCGCGGAAGATCTCCCAGGCGCGAGCACCGAAGCGTCTGGGGATGGGAAGGTTCTTCGTTTTGTCCCCGAAGCAAGGCCATGAACGAAGATGCCCCAATCCGTCATGGGGTTCTGTATGTGAAGGTGTGGGCGAAGATGGGTTGAGATGTTCGGGTGTGGGCGCACCCATGCTGTGCGCTCCAAAACTTCCATTGGACATCATTGGACACAAACAAAGCATTCAGAGGTTCCAGAAGATGCAGTTTTGACAATGGTGCGTACTCAAATTTGGTTGGTTTATGTTCTGCAATGTTTGTGCTGCTAGGTTGGAGTTTCGAAGCAGCTGAAAGGTGGGAAAACCTTTGGAGAGACAGGGAAAAGAAACATGTTTTAACCCTGAGAGACAGAGGTTCTTTCTGAATTTCCGTGTTTCTTTTAACATTTATTTGGGTGATGATTCATCTCTACCAGTTTCCCGGATATAGACTCAAATACCTAAATAGGAAGGTTTTGTACAAGAAGACCAGGCTTTTGGATGTTTTTGTAAATCACAAGTCAGGGGACCTGCAGATGTTAAAAAACAAGTTCCTGCTCTTCAGGTCCCGAACTCCGGATGGAGTGGTATGGTATGGGTGGTATGGTATGAAGCTTGAGGCGCTTGTCGTTTTACCAGTCCAACTCCGGAGTTGCAACTGATGAACTGCAACGTGATGCGCTTGTCTGGGTCTTCACTCCAAACTGCCATAGAATATGCCATGTCCGGCCAGGGGTGGTGCCAGGGGGGTCTGGGGCGGCAGATCTTCTGAAAACGTCCCCACCAGGCTTCACAGGGTGAAGCCGTGGCTCGAGCGGTTTGGATCCATCCACAACCGACCCAACTGGACCAACCCAATGACACAGACGAACGACCGTGCTGGTTTTGCGCCTTCGGGCCGTGGTTTGGGTTCGTTTTGTGCAACCAGTTGTGGGAATAACCTTGAACAACTTTGTTGGGGGAGTGGTTTCCCCACTAAATATGAACATTTGGAAAAAGGCTAAGCTTTTTCTTAAGGGAAACTGAGGGAGTTAGTCTTTTGTTTGGATGTTAGGGTCCTTCAACTGGAGTGAGCGGCGCATCCAGCGTCCGCGTCCAGGATCCGCGTCCGCAAATCCGCGTCCGAACTCGGTTCATGGCTGGAGTGAGGGTTCAGAACCTTGGATCAAAAGTGTTTCACTTTTGGGTATAAGAACATGTAAGAACGAGCTGGGCGAGATGAAGTGAACTGCTAGCTAATAGCAGTCGCTCCACTCCAAACGCGGCGTTTGTGGGGCCGAAGAATCGCTCATGTGAAGCCAGTTTGGACCGAAGAATGGCAGTGTTTCGTCCAGTTCCTTTTTGGAGGTGCTGTAGGCAGGTGCTAAATATGTAGTATTACCCAGACGCTCCATATATGGAATAATATATGCCTACATTGGGGTGGTTTGGGGGGTCAATGTAGGCATATATTTCATACATGGAGTGTATGGGTCATGGTATGATGCTAGTAACAACTTGTTTGAGAACATTGCTTTCTTTACTGCCCTCCTCTCTCCGCTCCACCGTTGGACGGAGACGCTCTCCTCAGGTCTGCAGCGAGCTGAACATCGATGGGCTCCGAGGAGATATCGTGCCTGGGCTACGATGAACCATTGGAAGGCCATCCCTATCGTTCGGTTTTGGAGCAGAAAAGGTTTGCTTTTGGAGCAGAAAAGAAGATCCTCTCCTCCATGATGGAAGAAAAGGCATGGTTGGACCAATACCTGGGTGTGTTGCATTCGCAGAATCATGGAGGGAATGTGGAATCACGATGAATCATTTGTTTTTGGACATGGTTTCAAATTGGTTTCAAAGGGATCCAACTTCCCATGACACTCGTTTGGGACGTTCGCACTTGGGCTCTGCACATTTTACCAAGCTGAAAGGGCCTGAAAGGAGTGGTGGTGATGTTTCAATGTCCCGCCACGGCATGAGACCCGGGAATTCCCACCCAGTGACCGTCTGGAGGGACCCGGGAAATCCGACGAAATGTGAGCAACAAGACTTGACCAGCTTTCCGAAGGTTTACAGTTGATCTAATTTTAAATACAGAGAATAGTTACAGATGTTTACAGGAATATACTGTTCAACATTTTTTTGCCATATCTTGACCGCGTTCCTCTTGGCTTTGAGATCTGTGTTACCCGGCTACCCAGTGACCTTCGTTCATGACCCACAACCTTTGAGTCACGTACCATTCCCAAACTGCTTGTGTATGTGGCGTGCTGGATTTTAGGAGACACGTATAGATGAGCCATGGCCGGCGCTATTTAGCTCTTGGGGCCAGCTCGCATTGGCGGGTCGTAATCTTCACCAGCCCAACTTGGGACTTCATTTCAAGGGATGCAACCAAACCCTGGGTTTGGCTAAAGCTTCTCACTGTAAATCCCGAACCTATACAATATGATCCAAGAATATGCTTTTGTTTCATCCCGGTTTCCTGGCAAAAAAAACAACACATTACTTAGTAACAAGGTTCGCTACTAGGTTGGAGGCCATCGCTACTAGTGGCTCCATTGAACTCACTGCATCCCCGCCGGGGAACCCCCTCTGCGTCCGACGAAGGGGACTTCCCGCTCGCTCAGGTCACGAACCGTGCGGCGCGGGCCTATTGCTCCTTCGACGGACGCACGGAGGTGACCGAGGAGGACGTCGGAAAGGCGGGCGGGTCGCTTTCCACTTGGAGGACTTAGCATTTTGGGGCCACTTCTGAAGGGGTTCCCCCCAAATTTGAGAGAGTGCAGGAGTCAATGAGCGAAGTGCCGAAGTGCTATGTTGGACGGGTTGGACCATAGCAACCTGACACCACGGTGCGACAATCCATCGATTGTGTAGGCCATTTTGGGTCAGAATAGGGCTTGGATAGTAGCTTGGATGGACCTTCCGCTCCTCAAGAGAAACGAAGCCTGACTTCCATTTGTCCAAAAGGCCGATGGAGGAGTGATGGATTTTCTGACATTTCTCCTGCAGAAGGGTGGCCTGGGACTTCTGTGTTCGAAGCATCACTGGGCCATTGGCGATCTTGGAACATGTTGCAGTGAAAAAGGCTTTGCGAAGCATTCTGGTCCAATGCCTCATGGGGGTCAGGCATGTTTTGGAAGTTCCGCAGAGTGGGTATATATATATATTATTTGGGAGTGAGTCAAAACCCGGGCACCCTGGTGGCCCCCGGAAAATGACCAGATTCTTCTATGTTCGGGATGTCATCATCTCACAGCACTCTAAGCCTCCAAACCCACCCCCTAACCCCCTCAGTCCCACCTTCACTGAAGGTCGGCCTAGGGATATAAATTAAGAGTTCACTTCTTCAGGTCGACCTCCAACCATTTTCCAAAGGGGCGTCCGACACTGGACGACCGGACACGCAGTGCCGCAGTGGTCCGCGCGGCGCACGTCGCCGCAGCGGCTGACACTGGACGCAGGTCATCACGCTTTGCCTCCGCCACAGACTCCGAAAGGACGAGGGGCGTGGGGCTGGGGGAGGGTTGGCCTGAGTTGCTTGGTGCAAACTAACATACTCTCCCACGTCCCACAAACGATCCCATATTATGAACAGAATGAACCAGACTGGAAGATCATTCTCCGAAGGCCGGCCAAACTGTTTTTTGGGGTTCCATGTGGACATCTGCAGGGGAGTACCCTCTCCTCCAAAATTACTCTAGGACTCCTCCTAACATCATGGAAAGTGGGTGATCCACAAGCAGGTGTACACTTCCATGGTTGGATGAATTGTTCCCTCTTAGACTTCTAGCTAGGATGATTCATCCTCCTGAATAGTTGTTCAGTTGGGTGAAAGCCACCAAAGGCTCGTTCTACCACTGGACTGCTGCATGTGTCTCGTACCTCAACACGAAGTCGAGAAGATGAATCACTGGCGGAATCCACGCTTGCGCCGGTCGGCGAAGTCGAGTGTTTGGCGCGGAGGGTGGCGACCGTCGGACTGCCCAAAGAAGGACGTGTGAGATGTCCCAACGAAAAAAGAAACGAACAAGTCTGGTTTCGTTTGAATCAAGATTCAGGTTTGTGCAACACAAGATAGGAACATCACGGTGTTTGGGCTCTTTGATGCTCTTTGGTGGACAGGCGAAGCATGGGTGAGGTCTACGTCTCGGCCAGTCCTAACACACCAACCTCCAATGGAAGGATGTTCTGGACACGATGGACGGCGGTGACAAGGTGGAGAAGGTGCTTGGTCCGAGAAGAGAGAGAGAGAGAGGAGAGATATTGACATTAAGCCCCAAACGAACCGTGGCCTTTCTTTGCAAGCAACAGAAGATGACAGATGTTTTCATGATTGTCTATATGAACAAAAAGCATCAAACACACGTCGACAGGTTTGTTGTTCGCTCGAGTTTCGAGTGCTTTTGAGTAGGATCTGCCACTCACTGGGAGCACACACACAATTCTTGACGAGCTTCAAACTTGCAAAGTGGCTGGTTCATTTCAGGATGGGTCAAAACCTGGAGCCCGACCAGTCCACCATTTGCCGCGAACGACCCCAAACCGCCGGTAGGTGAACCGGTCGGTCAACCGATGTGCCTAGTTCCCCCATAGCCATATTTGAGAAAAGTCGAGTTGCCGATGTGTTCTTTTCAGGCTTAAGGCACCCGGCAAGGTCTCTGTGATAAGTAGTCACGTACGTGCAAGTTGGTGTTTTTTGGGGGTTCGAATCTCTGTGTTTGATGTCGGTCCAGGGCACCCCAGCAAGGCCAAGAAACAGCTTTGGAGTGGTCGAAGACCTTTACGTTTTGCCTCTTTCAAACCGAGTTCCATGACATGGATGCAAGATCTTCCATCTTTTGGCTGTTTGGAAGGCTCAACGCAACAGACACTTGCGGTAACGCAGAGAGATTTAGAGTTCCTTCCGAGGAGCAAAAAGACTAGAATCCCATATGTTCAAATGTTGTTGACAGGATTGATCGCAATCCGTGAGGTATTTATTTTTATAGAAATTGTTTCACTCAATAGAATGAGAATCACTTGTCGAGATTTGTACACATCAAAGCACTCTTTGCCCATCCAATTGTTAAGACACATGTGAGTAGATGGCATGGCCAGGAAGACTACAAACTCCTCTAATTGATTGAAGTGCTTTACTGAATGGATCGTGTTGGAGACAAAACATGTTGCTGATCCGGCATTGGCACCTATTCATCGTTGAACCCTGCAGAGCTTGAGCTTGAGCTAGTAGACTACATCGGTCTCACATTCTGCAAACATTTTCCCGAAATAGATTCATTCAGAACACCGGGTCCACACTCCGGGTCTGAATCATTTTCATCTTCAAGAATTCTCTAACTCGCGATCTGAGGTCTTCCGTGCGGTCTTCGAGACCTAGATCTTCTGAGCAAAAAAATCTACCTCAGTTCTCTCCAGGGCTCGTGCCCCCCCACTGCACTGTGACACTGGACGGTTGCATTCGGAGGAATGGAAGTCGTGTGGCCGGGCTTTTCTCCGGCCCCTTCGGAGAAATCCAACTTTTGACAATTCAACGTTTTCATGCAATTCACCCTAGGCAATTACATTGATCTGAATCTTTGTTCATGCAAGAGCGTCGAGTGCAACCGCAAGCCTCTATATTTTTACACGGAAAAATATATGATATATCAAAAGAATTTGAAGGACAATATTGCATATTATATTTTCATGATATTGATGAATCGATATAATTTATTTAATTTAGATTATTATTTGTTTTAAACAAACAAATTGGATATTGCTTCTAAAATACGGGATATTATTTAATTTCGTAAATATATCTGGGAATGATGATATAATAGGAAATTTAATATATATATTAATATATTGATTTTATATTTAATGTATTTTATTTATATAATATAAATATATATATATAATTATATATATATATATTTAAATTATTATTAGGTTATTTTTACGAATATATTTTTATATAATTATATTATTAATAATTATAATCGAATTGGGTATTTATATATTTGATCGATATAAAAATATTTTTTTGTAATAATTGGAAAATTTATAAATATATTGGAACAATAATTGGATATAATAAAAATATATATTTAATTTATATAAATTGAAATTGATTGATATAGATAAATGCAACATATAATTTTTTAAATTTGTATTGTCGTATTATATGATATGTGATTTTTATGGATGATTTTAATTATGGGAATTATATTATTTTATAATTAGAAATTGGGATTGTAATTTCGCGATCTTATTTTATCGAATAAATATTTTTGATTCTTATGGTAGGAAAATATGAAATTGTAATTTATGATATTTTACATTATTTTGGCATAGAATTTCCGAATCTAGGGACATCTTTTTTGAGAATTAGATATGGATATATTTATTTTGGGATATCCAAATTTAGATATTGAAGGCTAATAAGATCTCGTGTTTGATTTCGGAGTTCATTCGAATTTTGCTGGAAGGTATAATTTTATTTGGCCAATTATTATCGATTATTCCCAAATTTTCGGTTTTGCATTTAATGTAAATTTGGAGAGGTGTTTGGATTTAAATTTGAAATCATTCAAATTTTATTAATACCTATTGAAATTTTCACGATATGGAATTATCTAATTTATTCTTTTGGGGAATAGATGGACGAATTTGTAATATTCGCCCTTGACCAATATTATTTCCCAACGATTAATTAGGTAACAAATGCAATCATGGCCTCCAAATTGGTCAATATAGGATAAATATATTATATTAATAATGTGTTATAAATCCAAATCTGGAGTTGCATAGGTCTTCAATATTGCATTATGGGGTCCATGGCAACGACAAATTTTGAATATCTTTATTATTTATGTCGGGAATAATATCGGTTCATATAATAATAAATTTTTAGGTTGTTTCTTGGCAGATTGATTTATAGAATATCCGATTCATGATCAATAGGATGATGGTGAATTCGCAGATTGGTTCAGATAGAGGTTATTTGAAAAAAAAAACATGCTATTTCTATATGCAAGTAAATTGTGTTTTTGTGCCATTGGCATGTGGAATTGAGGGATCCATTATTTTGCAACAATTCCTTTTCATTGATATCACCAGGAACCTTTTGTCCACGCTTTCATGCATGATTTCCCATGGATTTATTTCCAGATCTCACGTTTCCCTGCCATAGGAATCAAGAACATTTATTCGGTAGAATGGGATCGCGGCACCCCAATCCAAATTCCCATCTTCCGTGACACCCGAGGTCTGGCCGTGGAATGGCATGACTATGTGGTATCGGTTGGAATCATCCCCAGAGCCCTGACATCCATGGCATTTGGTTTCGATCTTGAAGTGGCCCGGAACCTTTACCTTATTTAGATAATCCTTCGTCGCCTTGTTAGTTTCGTCTGGCGCAGGCCTCTTCCTATGCCCTTGAAAATGTTTTGCCTGGTGCATATTTGGCCTTTCGTTTCATTCGAGATTTGTATATTGATATACCCGATGTGTCCAGGTGGGTCCGCTACTTGCTGCTCAACACGGGCAATCTGAAATGATTGCTGGAAGATGATATGAAATGAAAAATCTATTTTTTTAAATAATTAATATATATTTTAATATTTAGGTAGAGGGAATACTAATATTGTAAGGTTATATTGATAATATATTTTGTATTATGATAGTTATGATTTTGTATTTATTAGTATATTTGAAATATATCTATAATCAAGAAAAGGGCGATTTTGGGTCG